TCTAACCGGTTTAATAAAGCACCACCGGATAACTCCTTTATTTGATGTGTACCAGAAATTAGAATCATAACCGGCTTCATTCAACATATTCTGTAAGAAGTCACTTGATTATCATTTTTGGTGCAGAGGATTAGAATTTTTAGAGGCTCATTCCAGGTACCGAACCAAAGGTTTATAAAAAAAAAAATACTTGATAAATAGAAATTTATAGAGTCCCTTCAGATGATTATGGGGCTTCAGTTTGAACTTTGAAGGAGACAAAGAGAAGCTCAAAAGTAGACATCATATATGTATGTTGTTCCGTCGGGTAAAAATGTTGTCCTGTCTTAAATCTGAGTCATGAAAATCATCTTTTGTTGGTGGTAATTGGCTTCTTTAGATGTCTGAAAGTGATTCAGAAGCAGGAATGATACCAACCCAGTGTCTTTACTCTTTAAGTACAAGAATGCAATCGAATGCGCGGAGCGTTGCGGTTGTGGGAGCAAATGGAGATATAAAACTACTTTTCGGATTCCAAGACTCATATCAAGAAGGATTTCAAAAAGCTAATTGGAAATCTGATCTCTCCAATTAATGAAGTTTTTGATTTTGCGAACTAGTTGTCAAATTGTGCATAAGGAAGAATATCAAGTGGGGAAGTCTTTGACTTATATTTGATCAAGATACAGAATGTACTCCGGTAAGTGTTACATCACTATAAGACTTGTTGAGTTTCTTATATGTTCTGATGCTTCATAATTGTCAGAAGAGGACCATATTCTTTGATTCTTACGACAACTCTAACTTCAGAACTTTCCTCAATTCTTCTGGCCTCTCGATTGTTGAAGGGCTTTCTTTGTAATTTTACATGATGTGCAATTTGCTACTAAATCAACTTTTGTTAATGACCCCACAAAAATAAACAACCATTTCTTGGAAAATATTCGAATCCGAAGATATAGATAACGAACTAAGTTATATGTATAATTAAATACTATTTGGATTAACTCGATTCGAATATCTCAATTATTATGCGATCATCTCAGATATTTTATCATCCTAACAATTAAATAAGATTATATACACACATCTTGGCATCTAATCTTAGAGAAAATTAGTATCTTTTTATTCGATCAAAGATATTAATGTATTATGTGACCAAAAAAAGAAGAAGATATTAATGTATTAACCTTTTTCATTGCTATCTTTGTTGAAAAAGAGAGTTGAATACAGATCTCAAGAGACCGTAATATCAATTAAATAAAATTAATGCCCAAATTAACTCCTTTCTTCTCCGATCTCTTAACTAAATAATGTTTTTTTAAGAACTTATCCCGAATGCATAATGTGCAATCCCAAGCAAGCATCAAACTACAGTATCTTCATTGATCCAAATATTTGGCTCGAATCAATTTTTATAAATAAACTATAGTGAAAATGTGATTAACATGTCACGTTTTTATTGACCTTAGGAACAAGTGACTGTTGGCACTTGGCATAGTACTAATCCATGGATTAAAGATCATACGCTTCGTATTTCATAATAATTGTCGTTTTTACTATTTTCATACATATTCAGATTTGAAATTTTTATTAAAGCAGTAGATGATTTTGTCTCTCTGGTTTAATAAATTAAAGTAATAGGGAG